GAAGCAGCAGGAGCACGAGCAGCCGTCGTGTCGGCGCCGGGCAGCTCCCCCGGGCCGCCATCCCGCCCGCCCAGCCGGCACGGCGCTGCGGCAGGAGGAAGTGCGGGCGAAGGGGAAGTGTGGAGCCTGGCGTGCCCGGGAGGCGCGTCCGTCAGGTCCCGCCGCCGCCGCCGCCGCTCAGCTCAGCGGGCAGCCTGCACCACGCGGGACGCAGCCACCGGGACCGACCGGCCGCGGGCGCTCCGTAGCTGCCGGGCAGGAGAACCCACACACACACTCCTCCAACTGCCTCCGCGGCCCAACTCCTCCGGCCCCGCCCCCTGGCCAGGGCGGCCTCCCATTGGCCCGACGTCAGCCTCGGCGTCGTGACGTTTCCCGCAGGTTGAGGTGCGGCTCGCGCGCTCCTCCCATTGGACCCGGCGAGCCGGGCAGGTAGCTGGCCCTGAATGATTGACAGACACTCCCTGCATCCTTCCCAACCCCACGGGCGGCGACCCTCTTGGTCTCTGGGCCGTGCCAAGCGACCCGGCTGCAGGCGGCATCCGACCAGCACTTCCTCGAGAGCCTTAGGCAAGGAGAGCCACAGCCAGCGCCACCTCCACTTCTATTAAATGACAAGGGAGCCCCAGCCCCGCTACTTACGTGGCACTCCCTGACGGGAACTGCCACACCTTAAAGTGGCGATCCACCCACCCTCAGCAAGTCCCAGTGCCACCGACGTGGGATATTCTTTAAGAGTCCGCATGCTGGTCTTTGAAGGCTCTCAAGTGGGAGGATTCGGAAGTAAAAGATGAAAACGTCCAAGCTTTTGTTTTAAGACCTTGTTGAACAGCCAGCCACCCGCCAAAACACGGGTCTCACACTGACCTGGCTCTTTCAGATGTCCTGAAAAGGTCTGGCTTTTGAAAAAGTTGAGTGTTGTTTACGACTTTTGTGGGATGGAGCCTCTGGGGTAGGCAAAACTAGAAGATCGGAAAGAATGGTTAGTTAGGCTCTAGAATATGACTGCATTTTTTTTTTTAAGAAGAGCTGAGTTACCTAATTACCAGAGTTACACACACACACACACACACACACACACACACACACACACACCACAAAGTGCTAACTTCATGCCAGGCCCTGTTCTAAGTCCTACCCCTGTTTCCTCCAGCCGTCCCTGCAGCCTGGCCTTGGCCTTCCATTGTTCCTTACAGAATATGTGGCCCTTCAAGCCATAGCTTCTGCACGTTCCTGGTGTGTGTGTGTGCGCTGAGGTAACCAGGATGCCTCCTACACGTAGTTTGGGGTGCAGCTATTGTCCCTCCCAGTTCATTCCTGGAGTGCAAATGTGCTGAGCCCTCGTGATGCCATGAAGCAGAGACCAGAAACCCAGGCTCCTTCAGCCACCTCCTTTTTCTGCAAAGATTTGCCTTGCTCAGAAGGGCTAGGTTAATTTTTCTGGAGGTAGCCACCCCCAAACTATGACTGTCTCAGAGGAAGGGCTTCTGGCTAATTTCTAGTTGCCTCACAGAGATGATAAAGCAAATAAGCTAAAGCTGCTGGGTGCTGAGATGCTGGTCGCTAAGCTGCCGTGGCCCTGGAGGAAGACAGGAGATGGATTCAACCGAAGATGTCAGGCGAGGGCTTCCCACGCTCGCTTCCCAGAGGGGAGCTGGCAAGGCAGGGCTACAGCGGCAGGGTCTCAGGAGCGTGGGATTTCCCAGCCCCTCGGTGTTGCCCAGCTCACTGGCCTCAGCGGGGCTCTGCCAGGTCAGCTCCAGGTATCGGATGCTAAAGGGAGGAGCTCTTTGTGTTCCACACACACAGCCATATCTCCTGGGCCTATGCTTTGCTCCAAATCGAGGCTAGATATAGCTTTAACTCCTGGAGGACTCAGAACCATTAGCCTAGTCTTGAATGGCGACTAACTCCCTTTGAAAAACAAATCAAAACAAAACCAAAAAGAAAAAAAAAAGGCTTTTTTTTTTTTTTTTTTTTTTTTACATTTTTGAAGTGCTGGCGAGTGAATCCAGGCCTTGTGCCTACCAGGCAAGTTGCTCTACCACTGAGCTACATCCCCCACCCTGTTGGCAGCCTTCACTGAAGAAGAACTGAAGCGTTTACTTGACCCCTACCCACTAAGGGTATAGGAGGCCTAGTAATTCCCAGATCAGCTTTGGGGGACTGTCCTACTTAGATGTGGTCTCGCTGAAATATAATCACTAGCGGGCACTTTGGAGCAAGGAATGCCATGGGCATAGCAGTGTACAGAGCGTGTGTAGTGTGGGGGCTGGGGATGCAACCAAGGACCAAGTGTGTGCTGTGCAGAGACTAGGCCCGGGGCACCCCTGTCACCTTTCAAGATGGTTTTTATTCCTGTATTGTGTCTGTTTCCCATTAGTGGAACGAACAGCAGAGACAGTTTATAAAGAGGAACAGTTTATGCCGGCTCACAGGTTTGGAAACTTCAGGCCGTGATCAGTTGGTCCTGTTGTCTGGGCATCTGTGGTGAGGCAACACTTGATGGTGGGGTGTAGTTTTCTCCAGTCCCACTTGGGCCCCCAAAGTTCTGAGGCCCACTTATAAAGTGATCACTCAGAAGTTCATATTAATTAAAATTGCTCGGCCATTAGCTCAGGCTAACTATTGACTAGCTTTTACATCTTAAATTAACCCATTTCTATTCATCTGTAAGTTGCCACGTGGCTTGTGGCTGGCTGGTACTTTTACATTTTGCTTCCTCTGTGTCTGGCTGGTGACTCCTGACCCAGCCTTCCTCTTCCCAGAATTCTCCTCTCTGTTTGTCCTACCTATACTATACTTCCTGCCTGGCTACTAGTCAATCATCATTTTATTTATGCAGAAAGGCATCCCCAGAACTTCCCCTTTTCTTTTTTTTTCAAAAAGGAAGGTTTTTAACTTTAACATAGTAAAATTACATATCACAAAACAATTATCAAGCAAGAATGACAGTTACAATATCTAGTCTATTTATAATATCTAGTCTATTTGTATTTGGCAAAATTAAAGAAGATATCCTATCTATCCTATATTTGTGAGTCTAAGGTTTTGTTTCTAACTTATCTTTTATCATAACTAAGGAAATTATAACTATCTAGTCTTCACCTACGTCAGACCTCAGAAGGATATAATATTACCTGAGAAATGGGAGAAAGATGCAAGTGCTGGGGATGTCTTTCTGTATCAATGAAATGCTGATTGACCAGTAGTCCGGCAGGAAGTATATTTATAGGCAGGACAAACAGAGAGGAGAATTCTGGGAAGAGGAAGACTGGGTCAGGATACGTTGCCAGCCACCGCCACCATGAGAAGCGAAATGTAAAAGTACCAGTAAGCCACAAGCCACGTGGCAACTTATAGATTAACAGAAATGGGCTGAGTTTAAGATGTAAGAATTAGTCAATAGTTAGCCTGAGCTAATGGCTGAGCAGTTTTAAATAATATTAGCCTGTGTGTGTTTATCTGGGTCTGAGTGGCTGCAGGACTGGTGGGTGAGAGAGATTTGTCTTGACCATGGGCCAGGCAGGACTGGAGATAACTCCAGCTACAGTAGGGCATGTGGTATAGGAAAGTGACTCACCTTGTGGCTGGGGGAAATTAAAAAAAAAGGGTTGGGACTCTTTTCTTTTTAAAAGTATTTTTGTAAACATATACAGTGTATCTTCTATTTTTGGCTGTGAGCCTAGTCTTTAATGGCTGAGCCATCTCTCCAGCCCATATACAATATATCATAATAATATCTTCCTCCACTCTTCCACTCCCTCTAGGTTCCCTCTAACTACCTCCATCTACCTCTGAACTTCATTTTCTTTCTT